CTCAGAGAAGTTCTGGCTGCTCCATCCCTGGAAGTCGTTCAAGGCCGGGCTGGATGGGGCTCTGAACACCCTGGTCTAGTGGAAGGTGCCCTGCCCATGGCAGGGGGTTGGACTGAGATGCTCTTTAAGGTCCCTTCCAAGCCAAACCATTCCATGATTCTGGGACTGGTGGGGGATGTGGTGGTTGGAGCCGTCGGGCACAGAGACCCCAAAATGCTGGAGTTTTCCTTTCTGGGTGGAGGAAGGAGGGGGCAGCAGAACTGACACCTTGGACTGACGGCAGGCAGACTTTGGCCTGTTTGGGAGAATGATTGCTGGAGTCCCTTGGGAGTCAATCCTGAAGGGCAAAGGAGGAGGTGCTTTAAGAAGGAAATCTCAAAGCTCCAGGAGCTGTGCCCATGTGCCCTAAGACAACTATTTTCTGCCCTTTATTTCTATTGTTAAGAAAACAATTTACACCACTTTTAAGAAAACTGATTTGAAAAGAAAAAAAACTACAAATGTTACAAGTAAAATTTATATCTTCTTGACAATGTAAAATGCAGTGGTATGAGCGAATAGTTAGTAAAGTTTTAGTTCGCTATGTCCTGCCTTCCTTTTCCCCTTCGGGTACACACAGTTTGGCTGCTAATGCTGTGGCTAGTGAGTCTGTGTGGTGATTGACTGACCCGACATCCTGGCAAGCTCGGACCAGTTCAGCTAATGTGCACTGGTCGCGTTTGGGGATCGACTGCAGGGCCCTTCGACAGTCAGAGTTGGCATTTTCGTAGGCGAGCTGCTTGGAGAGCATCTCTCTCGCCTCGTCATTATCTGTTTGTCTCTCTAAGGAAGCCTGCAGTCGATCCAGAAACTTGGGGTAAGGTTCAGTGGACCCTTGGAAGACTTTGGAAAAGGATAGGTTAGAGTCTTTGTCTATGCATGGAAGCTTTCACACTGTTTTCAATACAAGTTTTGCAATTACTTTGTATATCTCTCGGGGGTAGTCTATTTGGGACTCGGGCTTTGAATGTGCCCCCTCCCCGACTAATTGAGTATAGGTCATTCTCATTTGAGCGTTAGTTTGGTCATTAATATAAACCTTACAGCTTTCTCTAAAGTCTGTGAGCCATACACTAAATTGTGTAGTGGTTAGTACCATTTTAGTAGTGCCTTCCAGTCATGGGGTGCAAACACGTGTGTGCTACTTAGGGTTTCTAGGTAGGAAAACATGTGGGGTGAGGAGACACCACTCTCTTTAATTATCTGCCTTAAATCCTTAATCACCTCATATGATAAAACTTGGTACTGGGGACCTTGCCGGGGTCGATGTATAACAGGTCGATTTACTACTGTCCAGTCACCCACCTGAGATGCTTCCTCCCTGCATTTATCCCATAAACCTATGGAGGGCCCCCTGCCCAATCCTGAAGCTGTTTCTCCTTCTGTGTCCTCTATAGACTCGCTGTCCATTTGTCCATCATAGTCATCCTCTGTAAGGGGGGTACTTTTAAATTGGATGATCAATGGAGCATAGAGGCATGAGAAAGGAATCATATTAGGATGTGAAACCAGCTAGAGTATGGTACAATGTAACTTCATGGCACAGGCTAATTGTAAGGTCCACTGTGCTTTTTAACAAGTCAACCTGATATCCCCTATTATCAGAGCTGAGTTCTTCCTTAGTTTTGCTACATACTGCAAGATGGATACATCTACCCTTGAAACACAATGGTAGAGGTCATACATAGGGGTGAGAAAGATGATGATGGAAGGAAGATGATGTGGGCAGGGGTCGCTCGCCCCTTGCCCCACAAGTAGGGCATGTGCAGACTGTTGCCATTAGGTAATGATCAGGCGGTGTTTGGCTGCCACTCAGGCATCACCTTATACTGCGTACTGGCCCTACGTAGTGTAATGTGGAACTGATAAAATGGGGTGTCTGGACTGCTGAGTGGAGCGATCCTCATCCTGCCACCGAGACTGTGTTGCTCCGCGGGGACGCCCGCTAAGTATGGGCACCGACCAGCTGCTGCAGATCCTGACAGCCCTGGCCTGTCTGTGTGGGTAAGCACAGTTTACTGAGAGGAAGTAACTGAGAGAACAAACCCTTTCTTTTTCTTTTCTTTTTTAATATCCTTTTAGTGTTCCTTTAATTCCCCCTTTTTATAATTGAATATTGTTACATAAATAAGTGGTTTATAATATTTCCCTTTAATTTCCCTTTTTACTAACCAATATTGTGTTAATAGTTATTCATAATATTGTGTTAAGATCCCTTTCTTGGTATCCCTTTAGCCCTCCCTCTTTTCACTAGTTAATACTGTATTAAAAGCTGTTCGTAGTATTTGTTTTAATGTCACCCAATAAGGTAGTTATTTTGTATCCTTTTTTTTTAGTTTTTTTGATTCCTCTTGTTAAGTTTATTACTATTATTATTATCCTCACTGTAATAAAAGATAGTTTGTGTGTTTGAATATTTCTGGCACTTGTCTTTATTCCGGACATGTATCCAAACGAACTGTTCCATAAATTGGCGTAGTTGGCAGGATACATGGCGGAATAAACTGCCCTCCAGGGAAATTCGTTGGTGGAGTGCTCAACCGACGCTTCCCTGTGTATTGGTGGGGAGATCTTCAGGTGGAGTGCACAGCCTGTAGAGCCGCGTCCCCCGTGTGAGTGATGTGAAAAGGGAGATTCTCAGGTGGAGAGCATAGCCTGGGAAGCCGCGTCCCTGTGTGGGTGGTGAACTCTGTGTGGGCGCCGGGAGTGCCAGTGTCTGGGTTCCTATCTTCTGCTTGTTTTACTTTGTTTTAAACTGGTTTTTGTTGTTCTTGTTGATTAAGTTACTATATGGGTGACAGTGCTTGTGTTTTATATGCTTTGTTTGTTTTTTGCATATGGGAAGTAGTTCTGAGCAGTTAATTGTGAGTATACCACACTTCTTGAGACCCAGAATTAAGATTTGTCCTTTTTGCAACTGTTGCTTATATGTGCGACTTCGTTGTACTAATTGTAATAAATATATCCTGGGACCTAGAGGCAGCCAGGAGATAAGGTTAGATCGGACTTTAAATTTTTATTGTATTCGGTGTGGAGCAAATCAAAGCTTAGAAGACACCCAGTGGATTAGGTTTTATTGTTGTTTCACTCATAGATAAGTCTTTCTGAGGATTCATTCAGTTACTGTAGAGCATGTATTTTGTAGTTGGTATATACAGATTTTAGAGTAGAGAGTAGATGTGTACGTGTAGTTAAGCTTGTTAGTGATGTAAGAGCCATAGTTTGTGGATTGGTGTGTCTCATTGTGTTTAGCTTGAAAACTGAGAATCTTTTGTTGTTGTTTTGTTAGTGAGAACATTAGTAGATTAAGATGAAGCAGTGGTTAGGAGGGTCGGCCATAGATGGCAATGAACCCAAGAAAGCTCCTCCCCGTGAATTAATAGAATTGGGGAAGGAGCCATGGATTACTTTGTGGAGTAAGTGGGAAGCATGTACAAAGATTCCTCTGGAGTATTGGGGGCAGCAGACCCCAATTGAGGTATTGCAATACTGGGAGCAGTTTACCCCTACTACTAAATCAAGCAGTCGTCTGGAACAGGCTGGACGAATGGGGGGTGCACTGCTTACTGCATATAAGTTAACTGTGGAAAAATGCACAAAACTGCAGGAGCAGCTGAATGCTGTAAGGGCCACTCAGTTGGTACAACGCCAGACTTTACTTGACCTTCAGGCTGAAAAGAACAGGGTAGAAGATAAATGTGCTACTTTAGCTGAGAAATATGCTGTGAGAACTGTTCGGCGCAGACAAAAGAAAATAGACCGAAGTGATCGGGGGCCACGGGTGCGAGCTATAGTTACTTCCCCTGATTGGGATCCAGAGAAGTGGGATGGTAACATATGGAGTAGTAGTGATGATTCTGATGAGGACAATTTTATAGAAAATTCAGAGAAGTTATCAACAGTAGATGAGCTGGCACACAGAATAAGGGCAGCCCCTGTTGTATGGCGGAAGGCTGTGATAGATAACCAGGGTAACCGAGTGAGGCAGGATGAAGTTGCTGATTTCTCCCCAGAGGATTTTAAAAATCTTTTATCTAAATAGTCTCAACAACCTGGGGAACGAGCACAAATGTGGATGGTTAGGCTAATGGAGCAAGGGGCTGACTCTGTGATAATAGACGATGTTGATGCCACACAGTTTTTAGGGTTAACTAATGATGTATATGTACAAAATACCCTTTGGCGTTTAAGATGAACACCGGGAGTTGATAGAACTTTGGTTTCAGTTATTGCTGAAGGTCTTAGTGACCGTTTTACTAATAATAGATCATGGCAGGATAGAAGTTCATCCTGGGTAACTCTTCATCAAGCAATCAAAATATTAAAAGGAGAAGGGATGAAAGTAGCTATTGAGCTGCAGAGCCCTGAACTTTACATGCAACAGCCTCTAATTCCAGTAATGTGAAACAAACTGTTAGAAGGTTGTCCTGTACCCTGGAAACCATACATTATTCCACTGTTAGTGTCTAACGCGAGGGCTCCCATAGAAGAGATCATAGAGAGGTTGCAGCAACTTGGTGACCTTCCAGGCCTCCCACCCACAGAACAAAACCTTAACTTGATAAAATTATACTTTTGTAATGAGGAGGGGCAATATGACACCTCAAGTAGATATTAAGTTGTTAGTATTGGGAAGGGGGGGTTGTTTGTGTTTTGTCTCCCACAGGACCCTGCTGGCTTCCAGCATGTTTGATGAAATCTTATCATGAGCAGCAAGAATTCTAGACAGAGATCAGTGAATGCTGAGCAGCACAAGACCAGCCTGAATATCATATGGAAGAAAAACATATCCTAAATATAATTAATTGTGTTTACTAACTTTTACTAACTGGTGTAATGACTCAGTTATCATGTACCTGTCTCTCGTGTTTCTTGTCCACACCTGATGTTGTGATTTGTCTAATGAACAATGTCTTTCAGGTGATCCTTATTTGTCATTTGTGATTCTCAGTGAACCTGGACAGGGGCTGGGAGGATACAGCTACCACAGCCATGACTACTCCTGCATTAGCCTATTCAGTGCAGGTCATGTATCTTGAATAACAAGATGGATTGGTTATTCTTTTCTGCATAGCAGGTCTCGTGTCCCAAAGGATCCCTGGATCTACTGTTCCAGAGATAAGAAGATCTATATTTCTTAGATGAGTTGCACCAACAATCTGTATACTTTGTTTTGTATTACTGGTAAGCAACAATCAGAATTGGAATATTATTCCTGAACTGTGTGCTGCCAAGTTGTTCTGGCAGCAGGGTTAAAGGTAAAGGCTAGAGCTAAACCCTGGCTTCAAGAAGTGAAGGACATATGTCTGCAGAGTGTCTGCAACTGTGCTTGGTTTTGTCTCCTGGGATGGGGCAGACATGCCACTAAGGGGGGAAAGAAGACAGTGAAAAACTATAAAACTTGTAACATCCTGAAGCCTAATGGTCATCACTGTATAGAACGATCCATTTCTGTGCTATTCATGTCACATCAGTGATGTTTGTGAAGATCAGGCAGAACGGTGTGGTTTGGTAATTCTAAATCAGACACTGATTGTTTTGCAGTGCTCATATTTGTATGTGGTTTGTCCCAGCAGTGTTACAGCAGGTGACAAGAATTATTTGGAATCAACAAATGACAGAAACCTTTTGGCTTACGAGTCTACACAAGAATATATGTGATTGTGAAATAACCATGTGTGAGGTGCTGGGCCTAACAGAAGAAAAGTCTTATGTTGAAAAACTGGTTGGTAAGACTGTAAATGAAGGACTGATATTTGTGGACCTCCCTATGGGCTCTGGCTCGCATTATGCTTACAATTTTCTTATGATGAACTGGTAACATTCTAGTTAAGTGCAGAAATGATTTCACACTCAGTGGTATAGTTAATGTGAAGATGGATAAAATTCTTTTATAGCATGGCGGCAAGAGATAACCTGTACTATCACTCCATGAGGTGAAGGGGGATTGACTGCAGTCAGGGGTAAACTGGGGCAGGACGGTTTGCTCCCGATGAGGCCTGGAATCTGTACAGAGAGTGCAAGCTTTCTGTGGGAGCAGTTGGTGAGACCAGGATGTTGTCTGGTGTTGCATTAAACTCCAGATATACATTGCCTGTGATGGCTCCTAACAGGCCTATAAATGTGTGACTGGCAGTCAACCACTTCATACTATAAAAGATGAATCCAAATTATAAAATTCTGAAATGAGAAGTTCTGTTGTACTAGACTTTATATTTTGCAGAAATTCCCGAGATTCATCACATTGTCCGGGTCCATACGATTGGACACACCTGTTCACCTGTCCAAACTTGGAAACTAGGTCTGCCAACCAGGAAAAGATTATCTCAAGTACTGTTGACTCCAAGTAAATGACCACTGTAACCCACTTGGATCTCCTCACTGGGGATGGACATGATTATATTATTGTCTGTATTTTTGCTGTTACTCAGTTATTATGTTGTTTACATTTTTGGAAATGACACTTCATAAATATGCTGTTCGAGTCATTCACCAGTGTCATGGTCCAACCATGGACCACGCGGTGGGATGGAATCCAACAGCCCCCAGGAGCTGGTTTCTCCTCTGAAGGTGCAGAGCAGCAGGGCCTCTTCCAGACCCAACTGTGCCTTCCAGAAAGATATCAGCTATACTTTGTTTCTTTGCTGACTTCTGTTTTAGATGTCAATGTGTAGACCACCCAGGCCAACATGACGAAGACGGACGTGATATGTGTGTCCATGGTAACTCCCACGAGTCCTTTTCGCACCTGTCTGGTTGGAGTACCTATTGATAACTACGGGTGGGGAACTCTATATAATGAGACTGTGTTAGCAAACTGCACACATCCAGGAACTCAACAACCTCTTTGGTGGTGCCAGGCATCGTGGCGAGCTAAAAGCGGAAAGGACGCTACTTGGTATATTAAGTCTTTAGCATACATACATAATTTTCCTGCTTTAGCCATTCAACCACAAGAGCTGGACATCTTAGAGACATTAACTGCAACTCGATGCTTCTACCTAAACTATATGTCAGGTACCAAGGTTAATGAAGGAGGAGTTGACATTTTTCCTAGAGACATATACTGGAATGCATCAGTTTGGTGTAATGAGACTCTGGAAAAACAATTTATTCCTGGATCCGATGCGGTTAGTCTCCCAAATGATCCGTTTCTCATTTGTGGACAAAGAGCATGGAAAGGTATTCCGGGAAAGGCTGTAGGAGTCCCTTGTACCTTTGGACAATTAACCTTTTTTCGTCCACACAGCGTAACCTTGCCTAAAGTAAGAAGACGCAGACGCAGCACACGGCGATTTACTCCAGACTGTAACTCTGATGTAGAGTTTTGGAATAAGGCTGAAAGAATAACTGCTAGTATAATATCTCAGATAGGGACTGCTCATGCTTTGGCTTCTTTAAATAAACTAGGATGCTGATTGGCTAAAGAAGCTAATGCTACTTCTGCTGCTTTGAGTGCATTGCTCACAGATGTAGATTCTGTTAGACAAGTAAGTTTACAAAATAGAGCTGCTATTGATTTTTTGTTGTTAGCCCAGAGAAATGGTTGTCAAGATTTTGAGGGCATGTGTTGCATGAATTTAAGTGATCATTCTGAATCTGTTCATGCTAGCATCCAGAAATTAAAAACCCTCACTCAACAATTACATGTTCATGATGAATGGAACTTTTTTGGTGAATGGAAATGGGGATGGCCCTGGTTACGAAAAGCGCTGATAGGTTTGTCAGTAGTTGGATGCATAATAACATGCATATTGTGTATGATTCCCTGTATAATAACATGTGTATGTCAAATGATAAACACCAGGATAAATGCATTACAATCTCGAGTAGTTCGCTATCACCCTCTTGCTACCATGTAAGGGGGGTACTTTTAAATTGGATGATCAATGGAGCATAGAGGCATGAGAAAGGAATCATATTAGGATGTGAAACCAACTAGGGTATGGTACAATGTAACTTCATGGCACAGGCTAATTGTAAGGTCCATTGTGCTTTTTAACAAGTCAGCCTGATATCCCCTCTTATCAGAGCTGAGTTCTTCCTTGGTTTTGCTACATACTGCAAGATGGATACATCTCCCCTTGAAACACAATGGTAGAGGTCATACATAGGGGTGAGAAAGATGATGATGGGAGGAAGATGATGTGGGCAGGGGTCGCTCGCCCCTTGCCCCACAAGTAGGGCATGTGCAGACTGTTGCCATTAGGTAATGATCAGGCGGTGTTTGGCTGCCACTCAGGCATCACCTTATACTGCGTACTGGCCCTACGTAGTGTAATGTGGAACTGATAAAATGGGGTGTCTGGACTGCTGAGTGGAGCGATCCTCATCCTGCCACCGAGACTGTGTTGCTCCGCGGGGACGCCCGCTAAGTATGGGCACCGACCAGCTGCTGCAGATCCTGACAGCCCTGGCCTGTCTGTGTGGGTAAGCACAGTTTACTGAGAGGAAGTAACTGAGAGAACAAACCCTTTCTTTTTCTTTTCTTTTTTAATATCCCTTTAGTGTTCCTTTAATTCCCCCTTTTTATAATTGAATATTGTTACATAAATAAGTGGTTTATAATATTTCCCTTTAATTTCCCTTTTTACTAACCAATATTGTGTTAATAGTTATTCATAATATTGTGTTAAGATCCCTTTCTTGGTATCCCTTTAGCCCTCCCTCTTTTCACTAGTTAATACTGCATTAAAAGCTGTTCGTAGTATTTGTTTCAATATCACCCAATAAGGTAGTTATTTTGTATCCTTTTTTTTTTAGTTTTTTTGATTCCTCTTGTTAAGTTTATTACTATTATTATTATCCTCACTGTAATAAAGATAGTGTGTGTGTTTGAATATTTCTGGCACTTGTCTTTATTCCGGACATGTATCCAAACGAACTGTTACATCCTCCCCGCTTCCCAGCGAAATGCCTGAACCTGGGGGTGGCGGCTTCACTTCCTCCGGGCGGCAGCGGCAACACGGCGGTGCCC